GGTTAATTCACGCTATGAGCTTATAATTAAATTCATACACTGAACAAGTAACGGCGTGGCTATGCGGTAGAGTAAAAGCCTGCTAACTCGAAAGTCTCAAGATTGAATCCGGGCCCAGGCCAGTAGAGCATCAGCGAGTCTGCTTAGTTCTAATGTCCACCTAATTCTATATCTAAAACTTCTTTTCATATCCTATGGTCAGGAGACATAAGAACTCTACCTCATCTGCCAAATGGATCGTTAGGTATGAAGAGGATTATTTATTTTATACACTGAAGATCATGCCTGTTTTATATCTATACCTGGCATTACTTTTATTTCATATAATATTAAGATTGTATATTTGTATTATTATTACGTCCTAAATAAGAAAACAAATAAAAATGGATGCAGTAAAAGTGATTTGACAATCATCAATATTACTCTATACTTGATACATGTAATTGCATTTTGCAAATTTAACATTTTTATTTTTATAGGAAATATATTTTGTATTATTCACCGTGAGCCTAATAAAACTTGGCTCTAATTATTGTTAATTGTTTAACACCCATTGCTGTCTTATGTGTTGTAAAAAAACCTAGTTCAAGTGGTATCGCTTTTATCAATAGTATTTGTATGAAACCTATCTTCACTATACACATATGATAAGCAAACATATCAAACACCATGTCCAAATATAATGTCAATTTCTACACTCTTAAATATGTGCCGAGCACTACATTAACTAACACATCATTTCAAGAAGGTGGGTGGATTTCTTGGTTGTGGAAACTTGAAATGATCAGCGTGAAGAGAACACTTATAATATTTACATCAATGGTTCGTCATAAACATGGGCGTCCACTGAGATTTTAAAAGGCCGAGATCTGAGGTTTATATTTCACCCATCTTGTTTGCTTGTTATTTACTCTACGTTGACTTTGTGTATTGCAGAGAAATGTATCACTGACTACATACAACTTAGTTTATAAACTGTTTATCAGCAGTCATGTACTGTTTGGTTCGATCACACCTGATTTAGAGCTGATATAAGTGATAAAACCAGTCAATGATAACACGATATCGTACTACATATGTTTATATTAAACTAAGATTAATGGTATGAAATGAAGCCAAAAGACGGGTCAGTACAAAGTACACCTAAAGCAGGCATCTCTAAGTTGTAGCTGCAACTTGTGTTCATGATTTCACACATTGTTGATTAAGTGGAGTCACATTGTGTTATTGTATTGGAACTAGGGTAATTAAATCAAGTGCCAAACAGCTTAGAAATTAGGATTATTCAGTCAAATGTAAGTTTGCATTTAACAAACCTAAAGTTAGTGATAGATAAACTTTAGACATCTGACTTATCACAGACTAGATAGTTGAGCAAATGCACTTTTATGATACAATTATACTGATATGCTGTATTTAGTTATTTAAGAATACATTTTTAAAAACCTTTTTAACGCCCGATTGCACTAAAAGTGCCTTACGACTTAGGGCGATATACGAATATACCGTTAATGTTTAGGAAGATTGCTCCTGTTTTATTTATATTTTCCGTAGTATTAATATGTATTAAAATAACATTTTGCAACGAATGTATACGTTTTGTCACTACAAGTAATTATATATATTACTTTCGTACTAACCCATAACCTGCTAGCGTTCAATAGCTTGAAAAACAACTGCTGAAATTAATGTACCACACCTTGGTACCACACCTTGGTACCACACCTTGGTATCACACCTTGGTAGCCCACGTTCACACCTTGGTATCACACCTTGGTATCACACCTTTGAATCACAACTTTGTATCACACCTTGGTATCACACCTTTGAATCACAACTTTGTATCACACCTTGGTATCACACCTTTGTATCACAATGTGGTATCACACCTTTGTATCACAGCTTGGTCACACACCTTGGTTTCACACCTTGGTACGACACCATGGTATCACACCTTAGTATCACACCTTGGTATCACACCTTGGTGTCACACCTTGGTATCACACCTTGGTATCACATCTTGGTATCACACCTTTGAATCACACCTTGGTATCACACCTTGGTTTCACACCTTGGTATCACACCTTTTGTATCACACCTTTTGTATCACACCTTGGTATCACACCTTGGTATCACACCTTGGTATCACACCATGGTATCACACCTTCGTATCACACCTTGGTATCACACCATGGTATCACACCTTTGAATCACACCTTGGTATCACACCTTGGTATCACACCTTGGTTTCACACCTTGGTATCACACCTTTTGTATCACACCTTTTGTATCACACCTTGGTATCACACCTTGGTATGACACCTTGGTATCACACCTTGGTATCACACCTTTGTATCACACCTTGGTATCACACCTTGGTATCACACCTTTGTATCACACCTTGGTATCACACCTTTGTATCACACCTTGGTATCGCACCTTGGTATCACACCTTTGTATCACACCTTTGTATCACACCTTTGTATCACACCTTGGTATCACACCTTGGTATCACACCTTGGTATCACACCTTGGTATCACACCTTGGTATCACACCTTGGTATCACACCTTGGTACGACACCTTTGTATCACAGCTTGGTCACACACCTTGGTTTCACACCTTGGTACGACACCATGGTATCACACCTTGGTATCACACCTTGGTATCACACCTTCGTATCACACCTTTGTATCACACCTTGGTATCACACCTTGGTATCACACCTTAGTATCACACCTTTGTATCACACCTTGGTATCACACCTTCGTATCACACCTTGGTATCACACCTTGGTATCACACCTTGGTATCACACCTTGGTATCACACCTTGGTATCACACCTTGATATTTTTTTGCTGTGTTGTAGCAGTCGTGCTGTAGTGGGGAGGAGGGGGGGTGGCAATGTATATTTTCACAGACGCTAACATACGTCTGCAAATGTTTACACCTATCTCTGCATCAACGATCGTAACGTCCACGGATAAACGTCATTCTACTCCTTTTTTTAAAAAAATGCAGTTATGATTCATGAAACATAAATTATTTCAACACATCTGTCATAAGCATAAGAGATTAAAAATATCCTCTTTAACCCTTGTTAGTAAACCAAATGTCTCTGTCATCTATGATGTATCACATTGACTTATGCGACTAGCAAAAAAATGTGATAAGTGAAGATTCTATTATTAAACCAGATGCCTACACGAATTCAGGTTAGGGCTGTTACAGAACAGATACTTTATTTGGAAGAAAAGATTCAAGTTCTGGGACCTGTGATTGTACGTATGAAAAATGTAAGATGAAAACATTTTAAGGCTACTACTAATTTTATACTATATTAATGGGTGCTATGTTGAGACAACATTTTTTTTTAATTACACAAAACAGATGTTGAAAAGTAAAATTAATTTACCCTAGTATCTTCATTAAATAATATATTGTTTTTAAATATACTATTTAGAGATTTAAACATTATATAGGCCTAATTAGTAATATACCATTTAGACGGTAGAAAGTGTTTTAAGTTTGACATTTTCTCATGAAACAACCATACAAAACCTGGCGAATTGAAATAATGTTTACGTTTGTGATCACCAGGTTGTTTCAAAAAATAAGGCGTGGCTAGAAGAAAAAGCTGACCAATCATCTGTCAGCTACATCGAGCTATCACATGAACTGGACACAGTAGCCACGGCCTTGTTGGATGTGACGTCACATATTTTAGGTCAATACTTTAATAGATTTTATAATTTAAAATCTCAAAGCCTACTGTCATGTGTCATGTGTGTTCAGTAATGAAGTGTTTCTACTGAGAAGAATGCAACAAAATTGTTTTACAGTTTAGTTTACAGTTATTGCAAATACTATGTTAAAGGGATATAATTTCACTGTCGGCCGAATATCATAACACTTTCTATGTTTATAGTTTTATAAATTCGACATCACATTAGTCAATCTTGTAAATCCTTACATTGAAAAAAATGAAGAATTTACAATCGTTTCGTGTAACCTTATTCGCCCTAAAACAAGGCTGAAGAGCCTTAAGGGTTAATAGAACGTTAAACGTTTTTTTTAATACTACTGATTATATATTCGATAAACAGTCATGTAAAAGTTAAATTTAAAATAAATGTACACTATATATATCTATATGTTTCGGACATTTTGGAACTAATGGTGTTTGTTTAAATTTAGATCACATTCATAGTTGTTTTTATTTCATCCGAGTATTACATGTTTTGCGTTAGAGCTAAACTAGTAGAACGTATTGCATGTACTATAAAATGTTTGTTCACTTCAACTGTAACTAAAATAAAATACTAAATCTGATTCCAACAGACGAGGACAACATGGAAGTCAACAAACCAACGCCATCTTTACCACAGCCTGACACACAGACAACAGCAACATTTCTAAAAGTAGAATCACCAAGACAACTCATCACACAAGTCAAACATACAGCTGGTATATTATAGTAAGCTTTGGTATAACACGTTAAATACATCATATACTGGATATAATTTTAAAATATGTACATGTATTGTATTTTGTAAACCAAGTTACGTTTGATACTTTGGTGTAAATTCGTTTTTAACACCCTGATTTTCAAGATTTAGGACATTTTAAATTACATACATATAAATGTGACTATTCCCAGTTGAAGAACATCCTGACCTAGAGCGTAGACTCGCCTATATTGAAACAACACTATCTTCACTACAGGACACACAACATAAGTCTACAGATGACATATCAGAAATAAAACAATGGAAATACAACTTTGTAACAGAACAGAGTGACATGGGGGTAAATATTGAACAACTGACTAAAAAATAAAAGCAGATTTTTAAAAACCTCAGAAAACAAATGAGTGAACAAGATAACAAAGAAAAGGAGCTGAACAAAGAAATTGAAAGTTTAAAAGAAAAAGAAACCAAGTCAAACAAAACACTAGAGAAACTGTCCCTAGATATGAAAGAATATGAAAAAAACACACAAAATAAATAAAGAGATGCAAGCTTATACAGATAAAACAGACAGTATGACACAAGAAATTAAAAGCCTCTCTGATTTGATTGTTTCTATACAAGATGAAAATAATAAAATCGTGGTCAAAACTTCAACGCAATTTGAAAAGTTTAAATCAAAGGTAAACTTAAAAATTGCTAACTATTTTGTACACAGTTCTATTCTTACTTTCCAGTTAATTTATTCAAAATTCTTAATTGATAGGCATTTGATTAACTTCACCTATAGTAATTCAATGCATTGTAATGTTAACTGTGATTAATTTTTAATATGCAATACAAATAGTAAAATGTATATATTTTCAATTATGATCGTCGGTCTTTAGCACAGCGTTATGTACAAACTCCTACAACAAAGATTGATGCCCATTGACAAACTGATTCAAATCTTTAACCAGAACTTGGAAACTAGGGAAGAAAGAATAAATAAGGTGAGTTTGTAATGCTTTTATAAAACAAAAATTATTTACAAGATTGATAAATCCTACATTACTCAAGACAAGTCTGTTATTAGACTATTTAGTATTTACAGAGAAAAAAAAACTAAATCATTTTCTAATCTTACAAGTTGACATTATTTATTAAATTTAGTGTACCAGTCCTACATTATAGCTTATGTAAATATATTGTGATGCTTTCATTTATCTATTTAATTATAATTTAGCTGGGTGAACTTGAAAATAGTATTTCCAAGTTGTCCAACGATTTTCATCTCATCGGTAAGTTTGGTTTAAAAAATGGTTTGAATCATATTTATATAACAGTAGTGATTTAACGACAATTCTACCTATTTGATTTTCTCGCTTAAATATAACAATAGTAAAAGCTATCATATAAATGATATCAAATCGGTAAATGTTTTATTTCTTTTATTACCTTTGTTCAATATTCCACCCTCAATCGCTCACATTTTATCTAAATATTTCACTCTCATTACACGGACATAACCATTTGTTAAACTAAGTTAGTGATCCAGCCAGACCATAACGTGATGTTCGTTAACCAGACAGACTACAACGTGAATGTACGTTAGCCAGACAGACCATAACGTGATGTTCGTTAGCCACACAGACCATAACGTGATGTTCGTTAGCCAGACAGACCATAACGTGATGTTCGTTAGCCAGACAGACCATAACGTGATGTTCGTTAGCAAGACAGACCATAACGTGATGTTCGTTAGCCAGACAGACCATAACGTGATGTTCGTTAGCCAGACAGACCATAACGTGATGTTCGTTAGCCAGAAAGACCATAACTTAATGTTCGTTAGCCAGACTGACCATAACGTGATGTTCGTTAGCCAGAGAGACCATAACTTAATGTTCGTTAGCCAGACAGACCATAACGTGATGTTCGTTAGCCAGACCATAACGTGATGTTCGTTAGCCAGACAGACCATAACGTGATGTTCGTTAGCCAGACAGACCATAACGTGATGTTCGTTAGCCAGACCATAACGTGATGTTCGTTAGACAAATAGACCATAACGTGATGTTCGTTAGCCATACAGACCATAACGTGATGTTCGTTAGCCAGCCAGACTATAACGTGATGTTCGTTAGCCAGACAGACCATAACGTGATAAAGAATGGAACATTTCACTCACCCATAGTGCCAGTCTCTAGACCCGTGGGTTTCTGTCAGGTGTTTGTTTCCTCACCTGGTACATTACACCACCTGGTATGTCGGGGGTCGACCTACAGTGGTCTACCTTAGTACGGTAAGACAATTACAGAGCTGTAGTTTAAAACTAACTAATTGCAATTACCGTCACACCATCCTTTTATGTTTCTAACATAAAGACAGAGTCCCATACGAGCCAGGGATTAAATCTAAAATAAAATAATAACTGAAAGACAAAAATAATTATATTTGTAACATCTTAGTATTAAATTAATTTATTGTAACATGAAATGAGCTATAGAATAGGTTGATGGTGCTAATTTGGTCAATCGTTTTATTTGAGTTTCAAAAGTACAACATAATAAATTTAGTTCTAGAGATTCTTGATACGATAAATTATCCTTATATAATTAAACTATAGGGACTGAATTATTACAACATAACGCATATAACCTTTGTCGTACCATTTGTGAGGTATTAATTGAATTATTACCCTACGACAATACAAATATTATGGATCAAATAATCAAAGCATGGAGATCATCCTTTTATGGCGTCCACACGTGGAAGGCGGGGGGGGGGGGGGGTCCGAATAAAATATACTTTTGTAAATGCTTGTGGACTTGATATGGGGAGGGGTCGGGTCATTATCAACGTCCACATGTTGAATTTAACAACAAAATACTTTTTTTAAAATGCACATAAAATGTCGGTTATACATTAAATCGGCAGTTCTCGTGTTGAATGTCCCCAGCACAACGGGTGGATAAATGTAGCCAAAATGTAATTGTATACCGCCAGCCTAGGAAAATATGCGGATATTTTTTTTATTTTTGGGATTGGGAGGGGGCAGTGACCACAACAATTATCTAAAATATTTCACGGTATTTCAATTTTATTTTTAAAAATTTCAACTTATTAAAGCTTAACTTTTGAAACAATTAGATGTAGGTTGTGAATGATCCTGTGACTAAGTCAAAACCTAAGACGATGTAGATCTACTGATTTTTTCTTTAAGTAAAAAAACTACAAATTATCACCTTACAGTTAGATATTTAAATAACAGCACGTGTATAATATGCTCGCTTGGTCAGGTGTGTAGGGCTCACGGTCAGCGGGTCTAGGACTAAAGGGGGGGAGGTTTGTTATAGAAACATGTGTAGTGTAAAGTTGAGTAAGAGTAATGTAATGACGTCACGTTGATTAAATGAATTTACCCAACCCATTTATTCGTTAATAGCTAGACAGACACAAATGACAATAAAATGTTCGGTCTACAGCATCTTTAATAAACATTTGTGTTAAAATTCATAATTTTTGTGGACGTCATAAATGGATGACACCACTTGTGAAATTGAACATATAAATAATACATATGTTTTCTAATCAACAGAGTCACGTGTATGTAACAGCTATGCTTGTCATGTACAGCTTGCTGATAACACACCTGTCAGTGATGGATCAATTATTTCAAAATTCTGGGAAGTACGTGAATATAACGGTCAACATTTTAATCAAACAACAGGAAAATTTGTATCACCACATGATGGACTATATCTTGTCTGTGTGACTCTACATGAATGTAAAGATAAACGGATTATAGTTCGTGTGGTGGCTGGAGACTTGTGGTGTACGCCTATAGAAGTGACAAGTGCCGACACTAGCGCTGCTGGGTCAGTGGTTGTTGACATGAAAAAAGGACAAGAACTTTACTTTGAAGTGTGTTACGCAGATCGAGGCGCAACCTTATCCGGCGCCAGTACTTTTACCATCGTTAGTTTATAGAAGTACAACACAAACCATGGTGGATGGTAAAATATCAAAACAATAAAATATGTAACCACCATGTTAAACACACTATTACAACTTATTATGTGTGTTGACTACATGTATAAAAAAACTTAAATGATTTATGTTATTTGTCTAACCATCATTACACAGTTCCAGCTAATTCGATGCCATCATTATCTTCCTGGTATTTGAGCGATTGGTGTATGGTCAAAATCGTTTAGTTTAACTTGTATATCTGCATTGTATGTGTTAAACAAAAACGTATTTTTCTTGTTGAAGATGTAATTAAGATCTAGAACTTTGAGACAAATCAAATGAATTATTAAAAAAACGACTTCGTGAATACGCTTAGTAGGCAAAATCAATATTTATCTCATGTATTAAAAACTTTACTCCAAAATATGATTTTGTGAAGAAAAAAAGAAGTTTTTATTACCCTGGATGTAACTGTTATTGTGATCATTACATTTGTTCTATTACAAACAATAGACTACACTTTTTCTATATTAAAAACCCTATTTTCTTTTGAGTATTATGTATCAGTAAAATTTACACAACACATATAACTATCTAAATACAACTATGTATCTTAAAATTGTGTTATATGTATAGTTTTGTTACTAATTTTGTAGTCCAACTTTAATCTTCTTATTGTATAATCAATATGTGATTAATTTTGAATATTTGTATATGCCAATACACACATTTCAGGTTAAATTTAGTCCGTGATGGAAGGAGATTCAATATCCAATCAAGTGGCAGTAAAAATAGCGATGTTTTTAAACAGACAATAACACAAACATCTCTTACATTTTTTTTTCGCATTCGCTGACAAAACTAACTAAAAGCGGTAATTGAGGTCTATTTATAACTTCGATTTATAGTAGATATATTGACAGATATTTCCATTTTTAATTAATAACATAGCAGAAACATAATTAAGATGAAAAGGGAATTGATTTTAAATTTAGCTACTGAATAAAACTTTTCACTTTTAGCCTCAAGTAAAGTGTTATGACGTGTGTTTGATCAGGCGTGTTAATGCGAACGAATATTGGTGCGAAAAATATAATGAACGCTTGAAGATGTGTTGGGGTGAAGTCGTAGTGTAGTCAAGTCTCAGTATCGTTCGTTCATGTTGTCCTACGTATTTTTATAGTTTAAAAACTATTGAAGTTTACTACTGTCATCCTGTCGAATCATATATCTACGTTAATGTCGTCCTGTTCTATGTTTAAACTTAAGGAATAACTACTGGATGGTTAGAGAAGAACATAATGGTTTTGAATACCCTCTCACCTCATAACTTCTGGTATTATAGACCCCAGCTATTACATAAAGATCCATTGATAACATCGCGTGTGAAAGCACAAATTAAAGTAAATCACACCTAGTCTGAAGTCGACCGTTACCCTTTTCATTCTTTAACATTGGAACGGTGTGGTCGTATGGTATGTCATGTGATAACCTGAAAGTGTCGGGTTTGGATTTCGGGCTAGAGTCGACTACGTCATCTCTAATCGAGAGAGTTCTAGTGGGTACTTCAAACACTTTACAATGTCAACATTAACATAAACACACACATGTTAATGTTATATCAAATCACCTAAAAAATTACTTATAAAGGGGTGGGTGTTTGGAGTGGATTTTCAAATATAACAGGGGCAGTAACTAGTATATGGCACTTTAAATACTCTAAATAATTATTTCAAAGAATGAGGGGCACATTACTTATAGTTGTCCTCAATCGATGGAATCGGTTGCCACGCCTCTTTTGTTATCTCCCTTTCTATTAATTCGCTAAACTAAATTACGAGTAGCTAATTAATTTTCAAACCAAAATAAAGTTAAGCTAGATATTTCAGATATTCTATTCGAATGGTCGACAACATGATTGTTGCTTTCCAAGTGTGTCGAAACTGAGCTAAAACGATTTGCCACAATCCATCGTTACATACAAATAAAATGTTATGAAACTCATAACACAATATTTGTTGTAAAAATAACTATAAAGAAAAGCTTGGGTCACTTTAGTATCTATTTTATACCTTTACTAATGTTAAGGAAGACACCCACCCTTTTCTTTATAGTTATTTAAATAGTAGTCTACAATTTATTTTCTACTTTTTAGTGCATTATTACATAAAAGCTTGTTATTAAAACGTTTTTTATGAATTCTTTTCAGTACTTTACATGTTTTATTTACAATAGAATTACATGACTAAAAACCATTGCGCGCCTACTGAACGTGATGGCGCAGCCATTGAACGTGATGGCGCAGCTATTGAACGTGATGACGCGTGTGGTGTGGTTGGAAAGACATGCCTACTAATTCGTTCCAAATTTTAATTAATTCATAAAAAATTAATTTGGCATCCAATTAAGTCAAATTTAATTTCAGACTGCATTGTCTTCATGTCTTGACCCACGTGCCAAGTGTGAACCGTATCGGTCAAGTAGAAGTATCCGAATTTTTACTCCGGCGTTTCGATCTAGACAGACTGACGACAGACAGAGGAAGTGAGTTAAATAAAAGCTTGTAAAAAGCAATATGTAATTAAGTAAACAATGCTACATGGGCAAAAAATACATATTAAAAAACAAATTACATAATAATTCATTACAGCTATTACTTGGTGATAAAATTTATAACTTAAAAACAAGATAGGCCTTAATTATAATTTTTAAATTAGAGAAAATTAAATAAATGCGTGTATCTTAAACCTTATTTAATTTAAAGTTAATGTTATCATTGTTATAGTTTCCCCGCGTTCACCGTACATTATTTTTTTTAATGTAATTAAATTATAAAGAAAAAACTAAATTTCGACGATTGTGTTAATTATCGATGATTGTTCTAATTATCGGTAATTGTTCTAATTATTGATGATTAATCTAATTATGATCATGCAAAAATTAATAATTTCAACTGACAACACGCAAATTAAGAAATTTAAGAGTGGTATTAAATATTTTATTAATATTTCTGTAAAATGTTGGCGTTGCATAAGCATCGTTTTAAGGATTTGAATTTTTAAATGTAGCTGAAATGTCTGGGAATGCATGAATAGAAGTAATAATTAGTACTCAGTACAATTTGTATCACTATAACTAATCTATATCATGACTCTAGGCCTAGTGGCATAACTACACAAAACACAATAAAGACACATTTAATGACCCGCACATTCGAAAACGCTGTTGTGTAAAAAAGATAATACACTAGCGATTTCATGAACATGATTTAATTTACAATCTAATAATAGTGAAGCCAGTTGGTACTTGTAGCTTGGGTCCAACATCAGCTTGGAACACTTTAAAGTAAAGTTCATGGCCTTTCTTCATTTTAACAACAGTTGATCCAGCGGCAGATGTGTTGGGAGAGTTAAGAAAGTTCTTACAAAATGTATCACTCCTGTACACACAGATTTGAATCAGTTTAGCCTCACATTCCTGCAGCGTTACAATCACAAGATAGAAACCATCATCTGGTGCTACAAGTTTTCCTGTGGTTTTATTAAAATGGTTGCCGTTAATTTCCCACACTTTATAAAAGTTTGAGAGAATTGATCCAGTAGTTACGGGTGTGTTCTTAGCCAGGTTAATTTGACAGATGTAAGGCTGACATACACGGGTCTCTTTTGGAAAGTATACGTTAGAGTTTAATCAAAAGCATTTGCACAATCGTCTGTGCATCTGTACACAATTATGGTATGTTTATTATTTAACCTTCCCATTGTCTTGAAATCTTTTGACAGCTGTATAAGCTCACTTTCTCGAGTTTCAACCTAAAATGTGTGTAAAATTTAAGAGATATTGTATCAGAAATTGTGTTCATGTAAAACATGAATGTTTTACATTCTTAAAATAGTTAACGCCTTATTTTATTTAAATAGCACGTAAAAATACAATTAAATTAAATTGGTCGAAATACTAGTTCACATTATTTTAACAAAGTTAAAATAATCATCAGTAGCTAAATAAAGAAAGGAATATGTCAATCATAACAGGATACCTTTGTAGTTAAAGCTACTAAAAGGTCTGTAGTATTGGCCAGATTCTACTTCCCTTCATCTTGTAGAGTTAAAATCACAGCATTCATAAAACACAACACAATACAGTGTTACCCCAAATGTAACAGATCAATATGCAGATTAAAAGTGTTTTAATAAATCTTCTAACATTCTGTTGATTAACGTGTGCCGCATTCGCATTATCTGTAAATCTAATTTAATCAGATGATTAATTTGTCACATTCATAACTTTCAGTCGCAGCTTTTAAATAACCATTTTTTATGACATTGGAAATATCGTTAGCCAAATTTAAATTCAGTTTGTAAGATTTCTGTTAAGAAAAACTTTAAACCATTTCTCCTTGAACAGGTCCATGCTCTATAAAAAAAAAACAGTAAATCTTATAAAATATGTTAAACTCACCTTGTCTAACTAAATATTATCAAAGAAAACTTTAACAGCTGTTTCAGAACGTTTACACTGCAACTGAAACTGAAAGTGACTTACGGGAAATCCCGCTATTATCTGTATTTAAATTCCGGAAGTAATACATTTGTCAACACAGTTGTCAAGTTGGTGCTGTTGTTTTTTGTACAAGATCTAGCTATAAATCAATTTATGAGGTACAATTAAGTTAAACCCAGCTTTATTTAAGATTGTGTGTACTGTAAAGTAATTTCATTTCATCATGTTTTTGTAGGCTCTTCTTTTATTGGTTAGTTGTGTTATATCAGGGTTGTATAGCTTTGTTGTGCAATGGTATGCTGAGGTTAAATGTAACACAATTCATTACAGTATTATTACAATTCAGTGTCTGTATTGTTTACAACATGAACATATTTTACTATAGGGCTTGTAATTAGATCACAACTTCTCGTTCTCGTACTTGCAAGCAAATAGATTTCGTGACCGTAGACTTAAAAGCCCTGTTGTAATTCTTAAATAAACATACACTAGTGTAGTGCAGACATTAACATGTACAGTTAACATGTACACATGAAAGAGTGTAGTTTACATTTTAAACTGAATTAGGCCTATATTTTTTATACATGAAATTGTGTAGGAAACACACATTCGTCTTGTTTGGTTGCTGTTATGAGAAGTTTTTACAATATCGGCTGGTTGAAAAATGTTTCTTTACGTTTTTCAAAAATAAAAATTGTTTTATCAACACAAATATAATGGAGTGTATAAGTATTCTCTAGGTCTACATTGACAAATCTGGGACATTCGTAAACTGATATTAGCATTATTTTTCTCTCCAGTCGCTTTGTGGTGCGGACAGAATAACAGTATCATGAATAGACGAATTTAATGAGGTTTATATTTTTCTTGTCCGAGCAATCATTTTTTGCGATGGTAATTAGTTATAATTATTTTATATTATAGTTATCCCCACGAAATGACTAGAACTGATTCTAGTTAGTAAAAGAAAACATTGGACGACGTGGCATACCAGTAGAGTGCGGTAGAAAGGTAGAGTCGAGTTCAAATCCGGGTTTAAGTCAGTACAGTATCTCTAGTCCACCCCGCTGTGGTGGGTGCCTAACTCACGTTAGGGAAACAAAGGCCGTGGGCATAGTGCTGACCACAGTATCCGTTTATATGCCGAGGTCACTGAAGCAGATGAACTATACAGCTTCTGCCCCAAGTATCTTGGGTACGAACGGCAAAAAGTTGAAAAGATAATTTAAAAAGCTAGTGAAACTAAAAAAACTGTATTGGAAATTTAAAAAAAAAATATCTTTAAATTAAATATGTTAGTGTATTTAATTAAAATTGGTGCGTTTTACGTGTTATTAAACACACTCAACTATATTTTGTTTTATTTAGATGCGTCCCAGAATTCAGCTGAGGTTTGTTGGAGAACAGATGAAATATTTGGAAGAACAAATGCAATTGATGGAGCCTGTTATTGGCTTGATGAAAAATGTGAGCATTTTTTTATATTTTCATTGATAAATGTGTTATTGTTGTTTCGGGTATAAGCATGTAGCTGGTAGTAAGGTATGTTTAGCAGCCATTTGGTTTCGACGACTTCAATGTGTTTTTTGTCATCAGGCATTAAAAAAAAGTAAGATGTGGATAGAAGATAAAAATGACAAGCCGTCTATCACATACATAGAGCTTTGCCATGAACTTGCATCAGCAATCACGGCCTTGTTGGATGTAGCTTCAAACATTTTCAGTAAACATTGAATACAATAAGTCTGTCTAATTTATGTAATCAGTTATGACCTAAAGCTAAAAAACTAATTGCAATTTTAATTCAACTTATTATGTATACTTTTACCAAAAGGAGAAAATGAAGAGCTTGTCGATGTTGATGGTAGAACGCCATCTTTAGGTCAGGCTACTCTAGAGCCTACAAAAACAGAAACACCTGACCAAAGTGAATCAACAGATCAAGTGACTAAACTAGTAAAAAATCAAGAAGGTATAAAAAAAAAATTCGCTAAGTTAAAATGTTTAAAATAGAATAAAAAGTGTGCAAACATTTAACTTATTCTATTGTATTTGAAACGCTGATATTACATTATTTTTTATGCATTACAGAAGTATTCACTCGACTGGGTCTTTTGGAAAACGGCGTATCTTGTATACAAATTTCAATTCAGCAAACTAAAGAAGACACGTCAGAAATAAAACAATGGATAGACAATTTTGTAACAAAACAGAGTGACATGGGGGTAAAAATTGAACAGTTGATTAAAAAGCAAAAGCAGAATTTTAAAAACCTCAGAAAACAAATGAGTGAACAAGATAACAAAGTAAAGGAGCTGAACCAAGAAATTGAAAGTTTAAAAGAAAAGGAAACTAAGTCAAACAAAACACTAGAGAAACTGTCTCTAGATATAAAGGAATATGAAAACAACTTACTGACAATAAGTAAAGAGATGCAAGATCACGCAGATACAACTGATAGAATAACAGAAGAAATTAAAAGACATTCAGAACAGATGTCTACCCTACTAGAAGAGAGTTATAAAATCCAGCTTAATATATCAACTCAATTAGAAAAGGTAAAATTGCTAATGATGTGCTAACACAATTTTACACATACTGGCCAGATAACGTATTTCACATTTTATAACCTGGTTAAATTAAAACACAACTAAGTAACTTTATCGACAGTTAAACCTGTAATATTATTAGTAATTTTAAGACACATGTTTTTGTTAGTTATAATGTGCATTAAAAATAATAAAAATTCAATTTTCTGCTCTTTAGCACAGTCTAATGTACAAACTCCTACAACAAAGGTTGATGCCCATTGACAAACTGATTCAAATCTTTAACCAGAACTTGGAAACAAGGGAAAAAAGAATAACAAAGGTATATGTGTAGTAATTTGATAAAATATAAATATATAAATATATCTATAAATTGATAATTGTGCATTAATTATTAACACTCTGTTAATAGACCAGTTAGTAGCATATTTTCTAAATTAAGCGAAACGTTAAAAAAATTATAATAAAAAATAATCCATGTTTTAAATTATGTTCTATTCTTACAAGCTGCCATACCCTGTTAAAATCAGTGCAGCTATTTTATGTTCTACGTAACTATGTGATATTTTCAAACATTTTATAAAACCTTTTTTAGCTGGAAAATATTGAAGATGCTATTTCAAAATTGTCCAAAGATTTGAATCTCATAGGTGAGTTTTTCTTAAAATTTGTTTATAACAAATCATACGGCCAGACAGACATATCATGAAGTTCGTTAGCCAGACCATAATGTTATGTTCGTTAGACAGACAGACCATAACGCAAAGTTGGTTAGCCAGACAGATCATAACGTTATGTTCGTTAGCCAGACAGACCGTAACGTGATGTTCGTTAACTAGACAGATCATAACGTGATGTTCGTTAGCCAGACAGACCATAACATGATGTTCGTTAGCCAGACAGACCATAACGTGATGTTCGTTAGCCAGACTGACCATAACGTGATGTTCGTTAGCCAGACAGACCATCACGTGATGTTCGTTAGCCAGACAGACCATAACGTGATGTTCGTTAGCCAGACAGACCATAACGTGATGTTCGTTAGCCAGACCATAACGTGATGTTCATTACCCAGACAGACCATAACGTGATGTTCGTTACCCAGACAGACCATAACGTGATAATCAATGGAACGATTCACTCACCCATAGTGCCAGTCTCTAGACCCGTGGGTTTCGGTCAGGTGTTTGTTTCCTCACCTGGTACATTACACCACCTGGTACATTACACCACCTGGTACATTACACCACCTGGTACATTACACCACCTGGCACATTACACCACCTGGTACATTACACCACCTGGCACATTACACCACCTGGCACATTACACCACCTGGTACATTACACCACCTGGTACATTACACCCCCTTGTACATTACACCACCTGGTACATTACACCACCTGGTACATTACACCACCTGGTACATTACATCACCTGTTACATTACACCACCTGGTACATTACACCACCTGGTACATTACACCACCTGGTACATTACACTACCTGGCACATTACACCACCTGGTACATTACACCACCTGGTATATTACACCACCTGGTACATTACACCACCCGGTACATTACACCACCTGGTACATTACACCACCTGGTACATTACACCACCTGGTACATTACATCACCTGGTACATTACATCACCTGGTACATTACACCACCTGGTACATTACACCACCTGGCACATTACACCACCTGGTACATTACACCACCTGGTACATTACATCACCTGGTACATTACACCCCCTTGTACATTACACCACCTGGTACATTACACCACCTGGTACATTACACCACCTGGTACATTACACCCCCTTGTACATTACACCACCTGGTACATTACATCACCTGGTACATTACACCACCTGGTACATTACACCACCTGGTACATTACATCACCTGGTACATTACACCACCTGGTACATTACACCACCTGGTACATTACATCACCTGGTACATTACATCACCTGGTACATTACACCACCTGGTACATTACACCACCTGGTACATTACACCACCTGGTACATTACACCACCTGGTTCATTACACCACCTGGTACATTACACCACCTGGTACATTACACCACCTGGTACATTACACCACCTGGCACATTACACCACCTGGTACATTACACCACCTGGTACATTACACCACCTGGTACATTACACCCCCTTGTACATTACATCACCTGGTACATTACACCACCTGGTACATTACACCACCTGGTACATTACACCACCTGGTACATTACACCACCTGGTTCATTACACCACCTGGTACATTACACCACCTGGTACATTACACCACCTGGTACATTACACCACCTGGCACATTACACCACCTGGTACATTACACCACCTGGTACATTACACCACCTGGTACATTACACCCCCTTGTACATTACACCACCTGGTACATTACACCACCTGGTACATTACACCACCTGGTACATTACACCCCCTTGTACATTACACCACCTGGTACATTACACCACCTGGTACATTACACCACCTGGTACATTACATCACCTGTTACATTACACCACCTGGTAGATTACACCACCTGGTACATTACACCACCTGGTACATTACACCACCTGGTACATTACACCACCTGGTACATTACACCACCTGGTACATTACACCACCTGGTACATTACACCACCTGGTACATTACACCACCTGGTACATTACACCACCTGGTACATTACACCACCTGGTACATTACACCACCTGGTACATTACACCACCTGGTACATTACACCACCTGGTACATTACACCACCTGGTACATTACACCACCTGGTACATTACACCACCTGGTACATTACACCACCTGGTACATTACACCACCTGGTACATTACACCACCTGGTACATTACACCACCCGGTACATTACACCACCTGGTACATTACACCACCCGGTACATTACACCAACTGGTACATTACATCACCTGGTACATTACATCACCTGGTACATTACACCACCTGGTACATTACACCACCTGGTACATTACACCACCCGGTACATTATACCACCTGGTACATTACACCACCTGGTACATTACACCACCTGGTCCATTACACCACCTGGTACATTACACCACCTGGTACATTACACCAACTGGTACATTACATCACCTGGTACATTACACCACCTGGTACATTACACCACCTGGTACATTACACCACCGGCTACAGTACACCACCTGGTACATTACACCACCTGGTACATTACACCACCTGGTACATTACACCACCTGGTACCCTACACCACCTGGTACATTACACCACCTGGTACCCTACACCACCTGGTACATTACACCACCTGGTACATTACACCACCTGGTACCCTACACCAACTGGTACATTACACCACCTGGTACATTACACCACCTGGTACATTACACCACCTGGTATATTACACCACCTGGTATATTACACCACCTGGTACATTACACCACCCGGTACATTACACCACCTGGTACATTACACCACCTGGTACATTACACCACCTGGTACATTACACCACCTGGTACATTACACCACCTGGTACATTACACCACCTGGTACATTACACCACCTGGTACATTACACCACCTGGTACATTATACCACCTGGTACATTACATCACCTGGTACATTACACCACCTGGTACATTACACCACCTGGTACATTACACCACCTGGTACATTACACCACCTGGTACATTACACCACCTGGTACATTACACCACCTGGTACATTACACCACCTGGTACATTACACCACCTGGTACATTACACCACCTGGTACATTACACCACCTGGTACATTACACCACCTGGTACATTACACCACCTGGTACATTACACCACCTGGTACATTACACCACCTGGTACATTACACCACCTGGTACATTACACCACCTGGTACATTACACCACCTGGTACATTACACCACCTGGTACATTACACCACCTGGTACATTACACCACCTGGTACATTACACCACCTGGTACATTACACCACCTGGTACATTACACCACCTGGTACATTACACCACCTGGTACATTACACCACCTGGTACATTACACCACCTGGTACATTACACCACCTGGTACATTACACCACCTGGTACATTACACCACCTGGTACATTACACCACCTGGTACATTACACCACCTGGTACATTACACCACCTGGTACATTACACTACCTGGTACATTACACCACCTGGTACATTACACCACCTGGTACATTACACCACCTGGTACATTACACCACCTGGTACATTACACCACCTGGTACATTACACCACCTGGTACATTACACCACCTGGTACATTACACTACCTGGTACATTACACCACCTGGTACATTACACCACCTGGTACATTACACCACCTGGTACATTACACCACCTGGTACATTACACCACCTGGTACATTACACTACCTGGTACATTACACCACCTGGTACATTACACTACCTGGTACATTACACCACCTGGTACATTACACCACCTGGTACATTACACCACCTGGTACATTACACCACCTGGTACATTACACCACCTGGTACATTACACCACCTGGTACATTACACTACCTGGTACATTACACCACCTGGTACATTACACCACCTGGTACATTACACCACCTGGTACATTACACCACCTGGTACATTACACCACCTGGTACATTACACCACCTGGTACATTACACTACCTGGTACATTACACCACCTGGTACATTACACCACCTGGTACATTACACCACCTGGTACATTACACCACCTGGTACATTACACCACCTGGTACATTACACCACCTGGTACATTACACTACCTGGTACATTACACCACCTGGTACATTACACCACCTGGTACATTACACCACCTGGTACATTACACCACCTGGTACATTACACCACCTGGTACATTACACCACCTGGTATGTCGGGGGTCGACCTACTGCTGTCAACAACAGTACAGTAAGACAATTACAGAGCTGCCGTTTGTTTTATGCTACATAATACGTGACGTGATACACACGTACTAAACGTTTAACTAACCTAGGGCGGTACTAAACTAATATTTGAAATGTGTAGTCATAATTACAACTATGTAAATTTAATGGATGATGAGCATTCACATTTTACTTTTTGAAAATATAAATGCACATTGTATGAATCAAATAGTTAGAGCTTGGATATAATTAAACATGTAAATCATATGTTTTCTAATCAACAGAGTCACGTGTATGTAACAGATATGTTTGTCATGTAGAGTTTGAAAATCCCACACCTGTCAGTATTGGATCAACTATTTCAA